CAACCTTTAAGTTCATATTTTTGTCATTTATTTTATTAATCTATATCACTTCATTGTGATTTGATCAACTCATCTTAATTTCAGTTTCTTTGATTTCTACATTCACTTCACTTCATGTGAGTGACCAAGTCTGTTTCTAACATTGCACATAGATTTTAATTTTTAGTTTTATTAGAACATTTTATTATCTACGAATAGGGTCAGTTTCTGCTTTTTGCTTTAAGAAGCTTTGGTGCAGTATCAGGAATCACTGCAGAGAGCTCCAGGAGCAGTAACCACTGAAACAAGGTATTTGAATATATTAACTCTTCTGAGGTGTCTTCCTGTGGTATCACTAGGATGCAGAGGCACACTCCTTGATGAACAAGGCATTGAAATTCTCTATAAAAAGTGCACAAGCCCAGCTTAAAGCTGCACTCAGTAGGTCACCAGTCATTTCTGAGACTGTCACTGTGCCAGCAGTAACATGGCCACCTTCCTCCTCATCTGTCACATTGGTGACACCACAAGGTCAGCAGGACCAAGCGCTGACTCCTGATGCAGTCTGACATTTAGTCTAGTTTTTGTACTGTGTGCCAGTTGGTTTGGCACTGAAGGTCGGTTTGTCTAACATATCCTGCATGAAGTGGACACATCTTTCCAGCATTCATCTGTTTCTGTTCAATAGTTCAGCACAGAGCCTTTAATCAGTCTGGATTATACAGAGAGATGCATAGTGCAATATACCATTCACTGAATACGATTATAATGACCAAATTTCAGCTGTTCCAGGCAGGTGATCCCTATCAGCCCTTCCCAAAGTGCCCCAGTATGCAGCACAGAATCATAGAATGGTTTGGGTTGGAAGGGACCTCAAAGAAGATCATCTAGTTTCAATCCCCCTGCCATGGGCAGGGACACCTGACACTAGATCAGGTTGCTCAAAGCTTCATCCAACCTGGCCTTGAATGCTGCCAGGGATGGGGCAGCCACAACTTCTCTGGGCAACCTGTTCCAGTGCCTCATCACCCTCAGAGGGAAGAATTTCTTCCTTATATCTAATCTAAATCTACTCTCTTTCAGTTTAAATCCATTGCCCCTTGTCCTATCACTACATGCCCTTGTAAAAAGTCCCTCTCCTGCTTTCTTATACGCCCCCTTTAGACACTGGAAGGCTGCTAAAAGGTGTCCCCAGAGCCTTCTCTTCTCCAGGCTGAACAACCCCAACTCTCTCAGCCTGTCTGCATAAGAGAGGTTCTCCAGCCCTTGGATCGTCTTTTTGGCCCTCCTCTGGATTCACTCCAACAACTCCATGTCCTTCTTGTGTTGAGGCCCCAGAACTGAACACAGTAAATCGTCATCTCAATTCAACATTGAACAACGCACAGTGTAGTATTTTATGTTGAATGATAGACCACACAAACCTACATTCACCTAATGACGTGTGACACTAAATAGACATGTCATTGGGCATCTTCGAGTCTCACCATCAGCATATGTACTGCACACGTCATCTAGCACAGGTGCTTTCCTAAGTGTCTTGCTGCATGCTGTCAAAGCTCTTTCCGCATCTTCACAAATCCTTTAGGTCCGCTGTACGTATCACTCTTGCAATGTAGTGATTCCAAACCCTGCTATGCAGTTCATTTGTTTGCAATATATCACATTCCTTTCTAATGTGAGTAACTTCACACTCCTTTTAAGTCTATTTCGTTCTTTCTCTTGTCTTGAAAATTCATAGATGTTCTTTTTTTCCTCTGCATGTAAATTATGAGAAGTTACAAAATTCTTCACTGGCTTGTGTTGGGGTGGTGGTTTTTTTTTTTGCAGTCTCACTAAATCAAACTTCTTTTTTTCCATCTCAGCATAGGAATCTGTGACTTCAGTTTTTGATCAGTTGACTTTTACTTGCAATATTATTCTTCTAGGTACAGTCAGTGAGCCTGTGCAGTACTTCTCATGTGGAAAGTTTTTGTACCTATTTCTAAGTTTAGCAACCTTAGCTTTTTCAGCTTTTCTGATGTTTTGGGAGTCTTTGTCCTTTTAAGGTTTTGACTGTAAGTATTTTACAGCTTCCCACTGTGATTACTCACATAATATTATGCCACAGTAGCTCAAGTCTGATTGTTTAAGCATCTGAGTAAGATGTTTAATGAAAAATTACTTCTACAAACATAGCTTTGTACTTGACATTTCTATACAGAAGCCATTAAACAAGAGACTGATTCTTCTCCTTTGGGCTCAGGGCAGTTCTTATCTGTGTGAGTGATCCAAGTGACTACAAAAGGACTTTTCATACCAGTTGTGATTGTAGGACTGAACTCTTGTCTTCATATTGTCGTGTTCAGCAGCAGCTGCTTGTGGCACGGAGTGGAATACATATCCTGTGCCAAGTGATCAGGTCACACAGATTATTGCCCATCCCACTCCAGTGAAAACTAAAAAGCCATCTTGTTTGTCCTCTCTAACACTCTTCCTGCAAAGCAACAAATGTCAGAACATGTTGGGGAATAAAAAAAGAGTGGAGCAACACTACATGAAATATCTTTTTTTCTTTTTCTTTTTTTTTTAAGTGTGAGAAACATGAATTTGCTGCTGTTCCAGTCATTGTTTGGTGTTTTTGCTAATTATAATAAATGTTCTGAACTTTCATGAACTAGCATCTAAATAACAAAGGGTTTCTTTGCTCAGTGTTACTGCTGGAAAAATCTACAGATTAGTTACAAAGTCTATTGTAAATATCTGCCAATTATTTTCCAATTTGAAGTCTCTGATTTTTTTCATCTTCCATCTGATTCACTTACAGGGATTGTCTTTTTCATAGGCCATTCAGCGTGTCAAGAGAAATGCTCAGGAAAGTTATTGTACCTAAAAGAATTAGAGAAAACCTACATTTCCCCAGTGATTTCTGGGACTTCATTTCTTCTGCTTAGTTATAAGCATTCTCCACACAAGTCCATCTTTGTAAAAGGACATTGTGTTTTGATTATTTAGAACCTGAAGTCACAAAGGGCATATTGTAATTAGATTTACTTCAGTAGGAATTGAAAATGTATTGTAGTAGTCAGAATCCCCAGGGGAAGGTTTCTAATAAAATCTCCATTGAATTTATTCATATGTGGAAGGAACAGTCAATATTTGAGCTATGAAATGTCAATAAAAGTAAAAAAGTATTAGCATTCAGTGTATGTTACAGTACATGGCCTTGCCCATTAGAATATTGCAGCTTTGTTTCACAAAGCTTCTATGTGCTTTTAAAATACAATCTCCAAAGGAAAATAGAATTAGTTTGTTAAAAACAGAGCTCCCTAGTCGTGAACATGGGTAATTTAATATAAAATATAATCTAAAATATACATTTCTTTTTTTAAAAACTATCTTATGGAAGTGAAAGGTAAAGTATCCGTAATGTTTTTCATTACCATGAATGCAGATGAGGGGATCATTTTCTAAGGTTCATGTGTGTGGGGATTCTCTGGCATCTCAGTGGTGGCAAAGGCCACTCAGCTGTCTGCTTGCTATTTTATCTCCTCTACTGGCTTAGAGCAACATAAGACAGCAATATAACAAGTGTTAAGGCAGAGAATATGGCAGAATGTTGTTCCATGAGCTTGATGTCCTCTTTAACAAACCTCCAACTTACGCATAGATTCCTGTGACACCTACCAGTCCCGAGTTCACTGCCAAATCCTGAATCAGTGGCAAAGGGTGAAGTTTTTATTTGCCAGTGAGTCCTTCAAGGGTGGTGCCATCTGCTTCCATAGTCCCAAACAAACCACCAGCAGTAATTCAGAATAAAAATGCCCCTAGATGGGATAGTTTTCCTTCAGGAGCTGCAGTGTTACAAAGCACACGGTGTAGGAGTCAGCTTCATGTCTAGTCTCTGATAAGGAAGCACTGCCTGGAAGCCATCCAGGTCTCTCTTACATAGGGAGAGTTATGTGTCTTCTCTTGCTGACCAGCCGTCAACAGGAATGTGTTCCTTCTAGCCTCTTGCTCTAAAACTCATAAGGCGAGTGTTGACTTCCATTAATTGAACTGAACAGTTGAATTGGACTTTCTTTCTTCAGCCTGTTGTTTCCTCACTGTTCAGTGTAGATCACTTTTATCCCCCTTCCACTACAACATCAAGGAATCAGCAAGAAACATGAAAATCCTGAGAGCTGTCAATGTATTTTCTGCATTAGAAACATGCTCTTCTTGATAGTGGGGAAAACAACAACAACAACAACAAAAAAAACTCTTAGTTTCCAGTACAAAAATTCCTTGTAAATTTAAAATGCACTTTATGTGAATGTTCTCTAACACTAATTTTAAATATTCCATTTGTTTTCTATATTATCTGTGGAAAGGGCTGAGTTAATTCAAGTAAATTCCACATATTTATTCATGGAATAAATGCAAACACAGGAAACATAGCAAATTATTTGCCTATGAGTTCAATTACTACTAGTAGACAAATTTTAGGAGTTTTAATTGCTACCGTAGAAAAGCAGGTGTTTAACTCCCAACAGCTGCTCTGTAGCCATCTGCTGTCACCTTTTTGCCTTGCGCTAGCCAGCACCTGTGAGACTGAAATGAATTGAAAAGTTTTGCTAACTTTCACATGTGAATTACTTCACGTGGAGTACTGGGACTACATTAAATACTTTGGCAAGTTTCCAAAGTCTCCTTCTTTTACTGTTACATGAGTTTATTTAGTAACGAACAGACTTCTTTTTTTAAAAAAATGACTGTCTACACGCTCTATATCTATCTACTGTCTATCACATTGCTTATTTCTCATCTAGAGTCCATTTTGGGGTGAATAAAGGTAAATGTTGATTGTTTACAGTACCCTTTGTCTACACCTTCTGTAACTTCGCAGTTGTGGAAGCCAGACCAGCTGCATTCACACACACAAAGATACGTGAACACATGGTCCAAACATCTTCATTATTGCTTGTCCATATACATTGCTAATCTGTTTTTCAAGCATGGCATGATGGTTCCTGTCTTTCACACTTTTATTCATCCTTCAGGTCTCCTGTAATGGCTGGAGGTCTATTTGCCGTTAACCGGAAATGGTTTTGGGAGCTGGGAGGATATGATCCAGGATTAGAAATATGGGGAGGAGAGCAGTATGAAATCTCCTTTAAGGTAAGTCATCAAGTCACCTACTACGATACTTTCTTACAGTCTTACACCTCTGGATTTTCATTGCTCATATGCTTTGTGTTCATGATGCTTTCATTCATACTGGCTTTTTTCTTTTAACTAAAATTAGTTTAGTACAATACTACTTTTTTTCTTTAGGAATTTCCGCTAATTTCACAGAGAACTATGCCATAAACATATGGTCCAGAAGCTGTACAAAAATCACACTGAGTGCAGTTCCTTCTCAAAGTCTGGTAGCTTATCACCATCAAAGAATGAAGTTCTACCTGAAATCAAGTCTTCTCCATCTACTTTCTCTCAGACACTGCATTTGCTTCATGCTGAAACGTTGAGCTCAGCTCAATAAGCAAGAGAGAACTAATCCAGAAAAAAAAAAGAAAAATTGCATTATTTTCTGTCCAGATAAACAAGTTTAATCATCTCTGAGGGTAGGCTTCCCTGGAGCCAGCTCAGGGAAATGAGTGGAAATGAAAAGAGAAAGACATAGGAAGAACAACCTCTTCCAGTAGCAGCGAATCACTACATCAGCTCAGTTGCTATGAGCTGTTATTTACTGGCCAAATTTTCACAATCAGATTATTTTTTAATTGCATTTGAATAATTGCACTGACAAAATATGTGGGGAGCTTTCAAGTGCTCAGGTTATGTACAACCAGCCATGGTATATCCTCCTATCCTCTATTTTGACGTGTATTCAAATCGGTTACATGGCTCTTTCTACATGTAAAATGGGTATTTGCATTAGTTTGATGAGGACTAACATGTCTAATTTTGAAAATTAAGTTTATGTTCAAGTATACTCAAAGACATAAGAACTTTACCTCATGGCCTCTACATACAAAGATTTTCAATGGCTTGATAGAATTTCATGACATAGATGAATTGAGTCAAGCATATTTGGATAAAGCTTGGAACTGAAATTAGAATTCACATTTAGCTTCAGGATCTTTCCAACCTACTTCCAAACTCTGACAGTGTAAAGCTCAGTAAATAAATCTACTGTGTCAGCCATGACTAATATCATGTATCTTGCTGCATCTGAGTTTCAACAGTGATTAAAAAAATAGATCTGAAGCTGTTCTGTTGAACAAAACATACAGCATGACCTGACACTGGATGGCCAGGCTGTCCTTACAGGAGTTATCAAGAACAGCAAAATGGTTTGTATTAACTGTGCCATGCTCATGTTTCTCTTTATCATTTTTATACCACAGCAAAATAAAACAGGAAGACAGGGGAAACCCAATAGCTAGACAGTCTATTTAGAATATATTGATTTATATTCCGTCCATTTAGGCTGTTTCAGAGGCAAAAGTAAGTAGTCACTAGTAGCTGTCACAACAGTCTCTGACAGGTTACCCAAGATTTTATTATCCTATTTCAAATATTCCTTTTATTCGTCATCACAAAGAATATACTTGTAATGCTCTCCAGTCTTTGTATAGAAACCATGGTAACAGCACTGGAAATTGAGATATTAGATTGTCCCAGTGTGCTTTACTCAAGTGATAGATTTTTTTTTTTGGAGGCAGCTGTGTCACACTGGGTCTCATTTCAGTCATTCATCTCATTAGTATATACTGACCTTAGGGTCCCTGTCCTTTCTTACTAGTGTTAAAAGAAGAAAAAAATACTCTTCAGAAATGATTGCCAAATAGGAACAACTTTCTATTGGAAGAATTTAACAGATGTAAGTTTTAAAAAGACAACTGCTGTTTTGTTTGGAATGACAAAAAAATCATGGAATTTTGGAATTTGGAATGAGAAAAATCATGAAGGCGGGAGGGAGAAACAAAAAGAACTGGGTTGTTTTATATCAGAATCACAAATATCAGCTTGGTAAAAGTTTCTGCTTCACAATCTCTACTATAGCTATAGATACAGTCATCTTAAAACTTACTTAAATGAGGACAAGTTAGCCAGACAGTTTAATTTACCATTTTTATTCACCAAACTTGAGGTGTTGGGCTTGCCATCTCTCTGTTGTTCACAAAGTCAATGAAAAAGCCAGACAACCAGCCTGGTTCAGTTTCCTTGGCTGCTTGAGTGGGTCTGAAACTACATCTTACATGTCTAACCAACAGACATTTAGCTGTTCTTGCTCATTTCTTTGAATCTGTTAATTCTTAATATTTTGTAAAAACATGACTGATTTTCACTAAAAAGTTGTAAAAAGCAGCTGATTTTAAATATCTCATAATTGTGGGAAGTTCGTATTTAGAGGACTGTTTCAGGCTGATCTTTAACCTCAGTGACAGACAAGGTGTTCCTTTTATGTTCTTCATATATCGTCTTGTTTTTAACTTTGAGATTCAGTTGTACAAAAGCTGCTATATAATGCTACTATATGCTACTATATATGACAATCTAGCTACTATAAACAGAGACCATGCTGATGATACGACCTTCCCAGTGTCAAACTGGGGGTTCTTGTGGCTACTTCAAATACAGTGATGTAATTACAGGAGGATGCATGCCAGGGCGAGAGCTGTCATGTGGTCCTTGAAGTGAAGTAGTGTCTGGTTCATCTTGAACTGGTTGACCTGCTCTGTGAGCTGGAAAGAGGAGATTGTTTCTGGTCCTCTACTTGGCGATGCATTTTAAACCTCACAGATCAACAGACTACTGTAAACTTTCTGCTTAACATTTTAACAGTAGGTCCAGGTACTATAGAACAGACAAGCTGTGGCATGTGTCTCTAATTAGCACCACTAATGTTTTGATGCAAAGGTAAGCTTACAGGTATGGTAAGGAAGACTTTTTATAAATGTGTGTATCAAATATCGTGTTTATATGTCCACATTCACTGGTGGCAAACATGGGACCATGTTTAAGAAACAGCATATGTTTTATGTTCTCTGGCCAAATTTTATTTAGAGAAGAGTTTCCTATATGTTGGAATGAAACTTCACCCAGCAGAAACGTTTGCACACCAAAGGGAAAAGTTCACTTGATAATCAATATCCTATTAAGAAAAAGCATCTTCTCTACCAAAAGCCTCTGCGTTACTGTGCCAGACATCCACACTCATCTCCACAACTCAAGTTACCGGAGTGTGTGCTACAAGGCAGGTGGGACGCCATGAGTGCAAAGTGTGGGCTTAGAGAGTCAGAGAAATTGGATCTTTCAGGAAAGTATGATGGCTAAATCTGTGCTAGTCTAGACTCAATAAAATAGTTTGTCTGAAGTCCTCTGACTTAAGGAATTATTAGCTGCTTCATCATGAACTTAGTATCAACTACTTTTCTTGCTCACTGTAATCTTCTACTGCACTTGGCAAACCCCAAACATACTGCTTTATGAGTTCAAGATGCTTTATGAGTTCAAGGACTGATTAAAAATTAGATTAGCAGAACAAGTGGTTGCCTGAGGAGTCAGGCAGTAGTTCCTGACAAGAACAGGTCAAACAAATTTAAGAAAGGTACTCAGGCTGGGAAGCTTGGAGAGAAAGTGTCTCTTTTGATGTTTCTCTCTGGCTATTTCACTATATGTGGCCTGTGGTGACAGACACTAGGCTTCAGTGCAGAGCACAGTCCTAACGAAGAGTCTTTTTCTCGAGGGGGAGGTTGCTTTATCTCATTGTACAGGGGCAGAAGGTGGATGCTGTGAGCAAAAATATATATTTGTGTGTGTTTGGGGGGGAAGGTTGTTCGATGGAAGAAGAAAGATACTGAGTCTGCAGTGAATCTAAATTTACTGCAGCATAATTTGATAAGTTTCTCCAAAATACAGTATTCTTTATAACTTTTCTGTGCCATAGCAGAAAAGGAAACTTCCTCAAACTTCAGGCATGGCTATTCCAGGTGCTGAGTTTTCAGAACACAGAGAGACAGGTTAAAAAAAAAAACAAAAACACAACAAACTGCTGCTTAAAAATTTGCTTGACATTTATTTCCTCAACTACGAGAAAACCCAATATATTTCTCTTTTATTCTTTAGTTGCTTGGAAACATTGCTGCAGAGGACAGCAGCAAGCGTAGCACTGGGTGCCATGCTGATCAACTGCTGCTTCCAAATCAGAGCACACGCATTCCATGGATGGTGAGGCAGTCACAACCCAAGTCTCAAAATATGACCTCTTCATTAAATAGTTTCTTAGATTAATTTTTACATAAGAAATAATATGCAGCTTTAAATTTTTTGGCAGCATAACCTTGGGATCCATTTTTTTAATTAAAAAGATGTATGATATCTTGCTGACGATACTGTTCAGCGTGTGCTAGACTCGTGAAAGCTGGCAAAGCGCCTCTTCTCAATAACCAGGGAAGCTGCTGTTTGGGAAATCCTAAATTTAAATCTGTTAAAAAGGCGTAGTTTATGCAGTAATCTCCAAAATACAGAGCAGTGAAAGATACTAATTTCCTGTGTTTGCTGAAGATCCTTTACACTGGGTGTTCCTTAGGCATAGTAAATCATACCTTAACAAAAATGCTAATGGTCCTACTCTAGCTAGTCACTCATATCTAGAGTTGTTTTATCATTATCCATGCCGACACATCTTCCAGATTCTCTTCATTCCTACTTTCCAACACACACCTCCAAGCTCATTAATCCCTTTTTTTAACATCGTTCTTTATCATCGTTATCATCATCATTATTAATTTCCTCCACTGCTGGCAATCTTGACAGGAGATAGAGAGTGATGGAGCACTACCACTTGTCAATGCAGTTCAAATCTATATGAAGAACTGGCAAACATGGAACATTGCCACTTTTCTCAACATTTTAGAGGTGGCAGTGGCAGTTGTTGAAATATCCACAGTCGTCAGTTCCCAGTTTACGTGGTTTGGTTTTAATATCCCTGATAGGAAATCCCACTGCACCACATGTAAACAATTTTACTGTTTGTGAACCCATTGACTGCAGATCTGCAGTCAGTGATCCTATTTTTCAATTTTTACTTGTGATTAACTGAACATTCTCACTACATTGAAAAGTTCACAGGAAAGCATTCTTCTTTCTCCTTTTCTACAACTGGTAAGTCTGGTCTTTTGGCTTACATTTCAGGAAGAGTGACTGAAAAAATCCCATAAAGATTTTATATTCCTTTTTTCTACAACTTTTTCAGCCCCATTGTGATAATACATTTCTCCTGTTAGTAGTCTACTCTTCTTGGGCAATGCTCAGAGCACTAAGCTGACAGCTTTGCATTGCATATACTTTATACTCCTCTTCCACCAATTTACTGTTTGTTTGGTTTTTCCATCCATTTCAGTGTCTCTCACTATTGTCTGTCTTGTTACTGACTTTCAGCAGCAGTATATTTCTCAATTAGTTTTGAAGGCTGATCCAAAATCCATTCAGTCCCCCCTCAATCTTTTACATAATTTGCTGTATGTTTATGTTCCTGTTGCACAGCAAGGCATCCTCCACTGCTCAAAAATCATGAGTCTCTTACTGCAGTAATTATGATTACAGTGTAGCATATGGATTGGAATCTCATTCTCGCATGCATGGTATTTACATTTTCCAGATAGTCCCTGGGTTGGATCGCTCATAAACTAGATAGATAAGGCAGGGGATAGAAAACCACAAAAGCAAGCAGAATTCAATTTTAAAGACAAAGAAGTGATGTGAAAAGAGGGTGATTCACCCAAAATCCCACCAGAGCTATAGAACAGAGCCAAAAAATGCATCTGTGACATCTAAGCTTCAGTCAGGAACAAAGCCACATAACCACAGCTTGATCTCTTTTAAAGCTTGCGTTAACGCTTGCCGTTTGCTTTCAACCATCCCTATAAAGTGTTTTGCAACATGCTGTTGGAAGGAGCTATATAGAGATAAATTGTGATATAGTATATAGTTGACACATAAACTACTCTTCTTTTGATCTTTCCAAGCTGAAATTACACTGGTTTGGTTTTGTCTTTGGTTTTTTATACCTCAGCTGCAGACCAGATTTGTTGCTTTTGTAAGAAAGAGACATTAGTGATCTTGAGTTTCATTGCTTGCTCCTTAAAGAGAGAGGCTTCGGTGTTGTGATATCATTTCGTCAAACATCCCACACCACCTGAATTCCTTTCGTGATACACTGGAGGTCTGTAATATTTAACACAGAAGTCATTCTCCAATTTCTTGCCTTTAGCGCACCTGACATAAAAATGCACATTTTAAAGACAAAGTTGCCAGAATTGATCTTCCCAGGAAAATATAAAAAGTGCTTCTAAAATCATTCTGAAGCTAAAAGATAAACAAGAACAGCTGCTAAATGACCTTCAAGGCAGCTCAAGATTCATTTCAATTACCCTGCACAGCACACCTCAGGTGCAGCACAGCATTTTCAAGTTTTATATCCATCAAATATAACCCTAACATAAAGTGTTATTTCCTCCCACTTGTTATTGCCTCAGTATATCTGACAGGTTTTTTTCTAATTCTTTTTCTCCTTTTCTTATTTTTTTACTGATATCCTACTGCTTTAGAGGAAATGCAATATATGTCTACTTCAGCTCTCATTGTCTGAGTTAAAGTCATCCTGACTGATATATAGATATATATATATATATATATATATGTGCTTGCTTGTCTTTCAAATTTGTTCTGTGGCTGACCTTCATCCAAGTCAAACTGCTATGCTGTTCACTCTTCAAAGGCTAAGAAGCCTTGATTAATCACTGTAATATCTTGTCTAGCTTCTGAAATAACACCTTTATTCAAAAAACAAGGACAAATAGTAAATATAGGTCTGCATTTTCATTGGTGCACTGGGTTGTTTGAAGACAGCCACAGACAGGAGCCTCCCATTAAAAAAGATACAAGTGATGTAACAGACAAAGTATCAGTAGAAAGGTGAATAACAATATTTTTTTTAACTATGACATTACCCAACTTACTTTAACACTATCATTTTTATTATTTTTAATATGTTTATGGACATGTTTTCCAGTGAATTAGGTGGCATGGGATTAAACAGGTGAGGATTTCAAGATTTTCCTTAAGAACCAAATTTTATGAAATGTTTTTGAAAAGAAAATAATCATAGAATGGTTTGGGTTGGAAGGGACCTCAAAGAAGATCATCTAGTTCCAACCCCACCTGCCATGGGCAGGGACACCTGCCACTAGATCAGGTTGCTCGAAGATCATCCCACCTGGCCTTGAACACTTCCAGGGATGGGGCAGCCACAACTTCTCTGGGCAACCTGTTCCAGTGCCACTCCACCCTCAGAGGGAAGAATTTCTTCCATATATCTAACCCTTAAATCTCCCCTCTTTCAGTTTAAAGCCATTACCCCTTGTCTTATCACTACATACCCTTGTAAAAAGTCCCTCTCCAGCTTTCTTGTAGGCCCCCTTTAGGTACTAGAAGGCTGCTAGAAGGTGTCCTCAGAGCCTTCTCTTCTCCAGGCTGAACAACCCCAACTCTCTCAGCCTGTCTTCACAGGAAAGGTGCTCCAGCCCTCATATAATCTTCGTGGCCCTCCTCTGGACCCACTTCAACAGGTTCATGTCCAAAATAACGATCACGTCTACATGGCAAGACTAGACTGCTCTGAGCACTACTGAGTTATTTTGGCATGGAGGAAGAGCATTCGTTTGAGTCTTCATTTCCAACCCACCAGTAAATTTCCTCCCTGAGAAGGACTGTGCTCACTAGGAGACCAAAGGGGATATCCCCATCACAGAAATAAGTAACAAAATACTCTTGATTCTGTCAACATACGTGCCCCACCTTTGATGGTTTCAAGCCTTCCTTAACCATTTACTCTAGTGCACATAGATTTATCCTGTACTGTGGTGTAGATCCTTGCACATTTCATTGCCAGGTGTTAGCTGGATGCCATGGCTAAAAGTTAAGGGATTGTAAGGGCTAATACACAAATCACCCATAAGAAGCATCTCCCTAAATCATTTTGCAACTCAAGCCTTCGCTCTAAACCCCTTGTTTTCTCCATTCACAGTGTGAAGAGCACAGTCAGTCTCAGGGGCTGAATTCCAGCGTGACACTTTCAGCAAGTGCTTTAAGTCACGCTCAAGCACCGAGTCATCCCATATTGCAGTGTTCAGCATCTGCGTGTGCAGATTACTAAAATTTAGTCCCAAACTCACAGCCACACTGCCAGGACCAGGCAGATATGCCCTCCATAACACAAACAGGCAAGCAGAGAGAAAGAGGCCAAGCTCTTGTCCATTTGCACTATTGTTTTAAATGAATGGAACTAATCATTTTGTTTTCCTGTGATTTCAAAAAGGCAGCAGCTACAGCCAGGTGGTAAGCACGACAAAAGAGAGAGAATGAGAAATGTATGGTAAAAAAGCATAGAGACGCATATTGTTCTCTGCAGGCTTCATGCAGAATGTCAAGTATTTGTGATCACATCATATTTTCCAATACCTTTTTCTAAGAGTCTGGTTACTGCTGTTTTAATTCAGAGCATATCAACTTTTGGAGTAATTCCTTTCTGTATGGAAATTGTTCATGAAACTTTCAGTTGTCTATGTTCTGCTTTGCTTTAGCCTCAGTCACAAACTTATTTCACACCGTTTCACTCCAGAGTGCATCAAATACAGATAAAATTCCTTCACGTATGTAATACATGGACCTAAATTCTCATCCAGATTCATAGAGATGTTTCATCGATCATCTTTACGCATGTCAACATAAAGAGATGTGGAAAGGACAAGCCCTCTCTCTTTCTCAGCTTCGATGTGGTTTTCTTTTAAATTGCGTGGAAAGAGGTTGGGGTTTTTTTTTGTTTTCAGTCTAAGGGCTGAAAGCTGAGGCTACAAATGTCCCTTTCCTGGAATAACAGCCATTCTGTTCTAGTATTTGTGAGGAACAAAAAATTGTTTTGCCAGGATTAGGAAATGATTTTTGTAATACCGATGTTTTCATTCTAAATGAATTTTAAATTCTCACTATGTAATTGGTTTTAGGATACTTAAAGAGTTCTGCTTGGGGATTTTGGGGGTGGTTTTGTTGTTTTCCATTTCCCTGATTTGCAACATCACATTGCTTTTTTTGAAATCAGAAAGTTATGAATGTTGTCAGTATGCTACACAAGTCATCTAATAGCCATGTTGGAGTTTGGTGGCTGGCATTTCTGCGTCAGAGCATAGAAAATCATGCCCATAGGTCTTACTGACATGACTGCCATAGTTCCTCTGACATGGCACACAACCTTGCTCTCAAGTACACTTGGTAAAGCCAAGTCATGCTAGGTGAGTAACTGTGAAAAATACCTTACTTGCTGCCTATCAGGATACAGCTTGATTTTTAGAGCCGTGAAGTAATTGCAACTCCCATCAATGTTGCCTGCATTTTGGTTGCTCAGACCTGAAGCATCAAACCTGTGTGCTCCAGATGGTTCCATCTGTTTCAGTATTAAAGTATTAAGGATGAAATGTAGCGGCATGATCTTCCTTCTCTGCCTAACATAAATTTCTTCGGAAGAAAACTGATTTTTGTTCCTTTTTCTTTACAAAATGAAAAGCATCTTAGTATTCGAGCTCCATACTCACTATTCAAAACAGAATACAATCCAGATGTTTCATTAAAAAAGAAAAAAATTACTTCTGTTTGATGGCTTGCATTGCTCACACAGCCTTCTTTTGAAATTTTGGTCCTCTATGTTTTAAACAACAGACACAATAATATCTTGGTTGTGTTGCAGGAGGACCATTGGTAAGTATTCTAAATATGTCTAATGATTTTATTTTTAACATATTCTGCTTTTGCATGGTGAGATTCCAGGTAGGACAGTTGGCTGTGTTACCTAGTCCCAGCTATGGGCATGCAGAGGTGGCCAGCGCTGTGACTGTGGCAGGGGTCAGTACAGAACAATGTGTTGTTTTCATATGTACATTACATAAAATGCCTTTTTGCCCCATTTATCTCCAAGGAATCATTCTTTCATTTGCTTTCTGTCTCTTTTCCAGGTGTGGATGTGCGGAGGTGGCATGTTTGATGTTCCATGCTCGCGAGTTGGGCATATCTACAGGAAGTACGTTCCATATAAAGTCCCTTCTGGAACCAGCCTAGCACGGGTCAGTAATTGGGTTTTGCTTGTTTTTATTTTCGTTCATCATCAGTCTCTTCATTTCCTGTGAACTAGTTTCCAGTAAACCATTAAAATGGAAAATGAATGTTTCTTTATTTTTCTGAAATGAGATGTGCAATTGCTGCAGCTATGCTGCCTTCCAGAGATAAGATTGCCAAGAATGAAATGGAAGCCTAAAAATACAAGGCTGGACGTCTCAGCACAGAAGTGCGTTTCATGCCGATTCAAAAGAACCGAGGAATAACCTAAAGCTCACCGTTCTCGAATTGCACAGTGTTGTCAGTCATAGTTTTTACAATCAGGACCAATTTGCATGCACGTTTTCTTATCAGTCAGCAGAACGGGCAGAATCTCACCAAAGGAACATTTTCTGAGGCAAAAGAACAGAGTAACAATGACTTGAGCGACTGTCTAATTATTGTGTAAAACCTGGTTGTGGAATACAGCCAGCTTGGAGCCGTGTGAGTGAGAAATTACAAGACCTCTAGACATTTCTCAAAGACTACTGAGCACATCAGTATCCATGAGGGGCATTTTGCTTAAGAGAAAATGTTCTGTAACTTTCTGGAGATGTTAGCGGGGTGTCAAAAGATGGGAGACAAAGGGCACAGATCTAGCTTCCAGGCAGATACTAGTATTTATTCATGCTTGAGTTTAATCTTTTCTGGTTTAGAGGATTTATTTTTTAATAAAATGGCATTAATATTAAAGTCTGCATATTGCCATAGGGTAATATTTTATGAATCATATTTTTCGTTAATAATGAAAATATGGTATGAATGAAAGAATAGATTTCTTGCTTTAAGGGAGAGATATTCCTGGTTTCAGCACCACGGGAGAAGGCTTGCCATAATAACTGCAGCAGAGGAAAGAGGCTGCCTGTGCTGCCTGCCTGACAGCTGGCTAGACAGAGAGAAGGATTTGCCTTAAAAGAGCACCTGTGCAGACAGTGCGACACACAATACAGTAATGAGATTAGTGGTGGTGATGAAAACTGCATTGTCTAAATTGAGAGACGAAAATCTTCCCCCAGTATAGCTTTTTGTAGTATCAGAGTTTCCCCATCCAGACTTTTGCGCTGGCAGAAATAAGCTGCTTCATTTATGATATCCCCTGCAAAAAATCACACACAACTTGAAATAAGAAATCCAGACCTCAGTGTCTGTTTTCCTCTATTTCAGCACAAAGTATCTCATTAGAGAATATGCTGTCTTGTGCATTATCTGTAGGAGCAAAATACAATCATTTCTATTTGTACTATTAGCATCTCATACAGTTTGACACTTAACTAGCTTTCATGGAGGCACTGTGAGTGGTTAGAGCCATCAGGTTGCCCTGCACTGTTTATTCTAGCTTGATTTCAATAAATCACTTGTGAAATATTAAAAAGAAAAAATCTCAGTTATAAAAAGGAAATTTCTGCCCATGCACAGGCTTGCCTGCCCTATATCTTGTGGGAAAAGATCTAGTTTGCTGATAGGGTGGGTCTTATCCTTCCCATTCAAATAATGGGTAGTTTCTTCTGTGTCGTGGTGGTCCAGAACATGATGCTTAGGTAAATTTCTGGCATATATTTATCACTGAAAGAAAATTTGAGTTCTCAAGTTCCCAGCTTCTTACCAGTACAATACTCTAAACCAAAACATTGCTGTTGGGATACATTGCATCAAGGCTGCCAAGAGCACAAGATCTTCTGCACATTTTAGCGTTTGGGGCCATCTCAATAACGATCCAAGGAAGAGAATTTGGTCCCTGGCCCATCAAATTGTGCATACTTTTAAGCCTAAAAATACTGTCTTTCATCCAAGCCTGAAAAGGAAAAGCAAGGACATATTTATCTTCAGTATGTCATTTGCTTTGATGCAGGCTACTTGTGATTCCAAATAAACTGCCCCAAATGGAACTGTTAGCCCAAATAATACTAGAGGAGTATGCACAGAAGTGGCCTGGATATTTCAGCTATCTTTGCATTATCTTCCAGACATTATATTATATCCTCCAAAGATTATAGTCTACCTCCTATGAGTGTTTTATCTAAAACTTCCCTCTAGTTCAAGAATAGATTGAATAACATACTCAAGAATATCTGGAAGTATTATGCCTGCTACCAAAAGCAATACTTTTCACTACTAAGTAGTTTCCACAAAGTTTTTTCCTAAATACTTTTCCATCTTCTGCGATGTAAAGGAGGATGCTGGAGATGACGTTCACAAGGGAATAAGCCCTAGGAAGCCCAACTGTGATTGTACAAATGGTTGCAAGACCCCTTTCATTAATCAAGGATAGAATTTCCCCTTGTGCAGATACTGTGTTAAAGAATGACAGATTTTCCCGTCCTATCCCACAGCAGTAGCACAAAGGATATGGAGACTGAAGTTAGGAAGAGGACAGACTTCTAGACAAACTCAGGTGTAGCCCAAATCATGCCATGAGTTTCCTTTCAAGCTGTTTCAACTTATGTTTGCCCTTAACAAATAATGCTTGAAGTGAACGTTTTACTTTCCCTTGGGGTTTCACCTCTCTATATCTTTTAGCAGCAAGTTTCAACACACAGTTTCAGCTGGCTACAGAATGCCTGACCAATCTAGATGTCTTTTTTAAAGAGATGTGACCTGGCGTGAGGATCACATGTACTTTATTAAATGAGAGACTTGTCAAAAACCCTGTTCTGCCTCTCCGCCACTAAATAACCGTTAGCGTACCACACACAGTAGTATGGATCGTTACTTCAGTTTTCTATGTCCTTCTTATCACATTTCTTACCTTCTCATTTGTCACTCAAGACCTGCAAGGCCTATGCGTATTTTTTGCTGACACATACTCCATAAACTGAAAAGCATCCACATACAAAATGCTCTGTCAGTAAAACTGTTTGGTGGTACAGAACAAAAGTAAAGCAAGCTGTAAACGTGTAGTAGATTTATAAACCAGACTGTGACAACAAAATTCAGATTAAAAAGCTGAATATTTTTGTCTGGAGTTGTCTTGAGATGTTGCTGCTTGCCAAATGCAGCCAGTGTCCAATTTACAGGTAATCACACATAAGGCAAGATTAATGGGCATGCAGATGTCAGCACTGATTCTACGTTATAATATAGAAGCACCACATAATTATTCATTCATTCCAAACTCTCAGCCTTTAATAATGAATTAATAACTAACAATAAAATAATAATAACCGATATTATAATAATTAATAATGAAATAATAATAATTAATTAATGACTAATAATTAATTTTGCCTATTTGTTTTAGGTAAAACATAAAGAGAAAGTGAATCCCCAGATCTTAAACGTCTATATAAGATGTTGCCCTGTTAAAAACTTCTGACTTGTTTTACTAGATTATTTTAGTTGCTTTGTGGTATCCTTGACTGTTGCTTCATTTTTAATAATTCTAGCTAAGCCATTTTCTTTTAGCCAGTTACCTGTGAAATCAGATTTTGAGATATTTTTAGCAATTTATTGTAGGTGTATCCCGGTTTATTATTTATTTTAGTTTTCTATTTGTGGGGGATTTTTTTTCTATTCATTATTCTATGAAAGCCATGAGAAATTTATCAATAAAATCTCGCTGTTCCATGGGATATGCAGGATGAACTCCGAATTACAAAATATATCTACAGAAATTTTTTTCATTTGCAGGTATTTTACACAGCATTTTAGCATTAACTTCAGAACATTAGAGCGTTAGGCCTTTCTGAAGGGAAGGGCAATCCCACTGAAGTTCAAGTTTGGATGCTAACCCAGCAGCGTGAATCCTAACCTTAAGTTGAATTCCTCCCTGCACACCAGGACGCAGGATCCCAGAGCCCAGTGATCCTCTGACCCAGCAGGCACAAGCACGATGACATTTGCCTCATTATACAGTGTTGCTGAATTGGAACTTGCACTAGTTTGCGTTCAGGAATTCAGCTGATAAAGGTGGGTTCAGATTCCCACCTGAACCGTTTGCTCAGCCTTTTTGTGTGGCTTCTGAAGGGATCTTTAAAGAACATTTCTGTAGCTGTACCATCTAGTGCTGTGACCACGTTTGCTTCTTTGACAGAGCTTCCTTTAATATTACAAACTTTTTTTTATTTTCTTCCAGCTGCAAGTAATGTTTGGGGTTTTCTTAAAGCAGCCCATGAACGTTTTCTTTTCGGTTTCCAGGCAAGTTAAAGAACCGAAGAGAATCAGTTAGGTGACGGCTGTGTTTTCTTACGCCTGGAGCGCGAACCGATAGGTGTGGCATGCTGCTAAGGGAGCACCGCTGGCACATCTGCTATCACCTCTTTAGCTCAAGACTGTAGCACAAAGTCAGTTATGATTCAGCAGTCACAGTAAGCAGCTGAAATAATCAGCTTCGAATAAGCAAATTATTTAGGAATCAAGCAACAGTTACCTTCTTGCAACAGCATGGTTATAATATATGATAATGATGATGATGATACAACACAAGATTTAAGTTTCTGTTCTAACATTTTTTTGTATAACAGATTTCTAAATTCATCATTAAAATTAATTAAACCAAGATCTCAAACAGCACTTATCAAAGAAAAACTTCAAATTATTATCTTCTAATCCTTGGATCCAAGAAAGTCAAAGTAACTTTTTTAAATGCTAATTTTTTTATATTTTCTCCCATCCGAGTAGAAGTTTTGCTCTTAAGATAATAAATGCAACAGAACAGGCAGCTTAGCTTTGAAATACAATGATGATGGAGAGCTAGATGTTTCTGGACAATAAGGCCAAAGTAGTGGCAACTACCTTCTGGGATTCGCAATAGACCAGCACTGGGACCCAAGTTACGTCCCAGTATATTTGGAATCAAACCCCTGAACTCTCTTCCAGGCTTAGCTGCAGAGGTAGGCTATGGTCTATACGTGCCCACATAGAACAAGTCTGTAAAGCCAGCAGGGCAGTAATCTACAAATTTGTGGGGATATTGCTACCCTGTCACTGCTTTCCGCAGCTTCCCTGCAGCCACCCCGCAGGGACCCGCTGC